GGCATATTGACAAAAGGACAACAGTGGAGACACCTGAACACTTGATGAGTGATGGCATATTGACAAAAGGACAACAGTGTTGTAGCAGTTGTATCTGTGGTTCAGGATCATAAATTTGTCGACCTCCTGTCGTTGCAGTTGAGGGCATACGAGGGGTGTTCATTAAAGATTTCCCCTAAACCACTTAGGGTTACCGTATTTGGTTGAAATTTCACACGTGTCATTTATACATGTATCTATGGGTTATGTCTGAATTTGCAGCACCGAACTATCTTAACACTTTTACAGGTGTTATGATCGAGTAGGGTGTGAGCCAGTAGAATACCGAGCAGTGATTAGGTTTTTATATTTGAAAAGAAACTTTCGATGAAATGAAAGCAACTTATGGGGAAGATGCCCCATCATATGACGTTGTTAAATACTGGCATCGCCAGTTCAAGTGATGTCGGACATCTGTGGAAACAGCTGCCATTCCTGGTCGCCCCAATTCAGCCATTGATGAGGACACTATCCATCAAGTGGAGACTGCCATTTTGGCAGACCGACGAGTCCAGCGAGGGTGCTCTGGGACACATTGAAAACCCTAGCTACAGCTTACTGTGATTATCCGGCTTCCAGTTGTCCAACAAGATTGTTCCATTGTGCCTTAGTTGACTTCACAGTTGAACAATTGCGAACCAAGAACTAGGCCCGTCATAACTTGGATAACTGGGGACGGTTTCATTAGCATTCCGAACTGATTACAAAAATGTGTACACCTGTATTCATTATCCTTGTTGAATATTCTTATTAATCAGTTGCCATTGCCCACATGAAACTGTCATTGTTATTAACGTTTTCAACTAGAGACAGTGAGTCCATGTGGATTATCTTCTCAGGGCAAGAGTGTCCACCAGCCTTTTTCAAAGTCTTGTTTTCATCCTTGCCATTTCAAGCCTACTAAGCTTGGTGCAGCCGTGGCAACACCCCTTGTAGAGCACGACTTGTCTCCCTTGAGCAGAAAATCCATTATCCATTCAGATCGCTGTTCATATCTCGAATAGCTTCGCAAAGATAACCACCGTAGTAGGCTGTCAAGATCACAAGGTTATTTATATAAGTTAAAGTCACTAGTTTTAGTGTGAGATGAGCTGGGTGTTACGTGTTAGGTTACGTGGTAAGCTGACATCTTCCTGAGGCAAGAGAGTTAACTGACTTTAAAAGTCCAGGTTCCACCCTTGCCGAATTATGCAGGTATTATGGAGTTAGATTTTGGCTGGACTAACGGGTCTATGCATAGTCCAATCAAAATCGCGCACCGAAATCGAAATCCGGTTCGTAAACTGTCATGCAGATTTCGGTCGATTGCAAGATTTGCAAAGCATGTGCACCGCTGACTCGGTGTAAACATATATATTCCAAATCTTTTCATGTTTTTAATCAAGGTGCTCACGTGATTTGATACACTTCGCGATGTAAGATCCGTTTTATCACAATATAGATCTTGCTACTCAATCAGATCGTCTTGACTCGGCGCCGCCAGTTTGTTTGAAGCAAATGCATGTGATACGAGAGGTGAAATCTGATTGGTCCATAGGAGAGGCACAGAAGAGACATAACTCGTAATAGCCACTGGTGGTGCTACGATCGAGCGCAGGAATTCAAGCCTAGTTCTAGCCTAGCAAGGGCGGAAACGGGTCTTTTAAAGTCAGTTAACGCTCTTGCCTCGGGAAGATGTAAGAGGGTATGGTGAAGTCATTGTAGAGGTTGGCATTAGAAAGCAAGCTGTAGCAGCTTGTGGAGGTTCATTGTCACATATAAAAGACTGACAAATGGGATAGTCAGTGCAGATACACGACTTTATCATACCTCCATGTCAGAATGATGAGATGACGTCTTGATAAAATACTGTGTAACCCGCCTTGGAGGGGAATAAATTGCTCAGTTGGTGGATCAAATTTCTCATACCCCGCCACGAGCATTTCTGAGAGACAGAATGAATCCCCGCTTCAAAGCAAAAAGCCGCACGATTTGTCCGAGCCAATGAATGTCACGTGACAAGCTAACCTCGGCTCAATCGAGCAGCTGTTTTCTATCAATTTATAATTTATTTGAATTTATTATTTTATAATGTCATATTAAAACATGTAGATAAGATAAATGCGTTGTAGCAGGATCACGAAGGTTACATAAAACACCGTGTACCCCTCGCGATCCTGCTACAACTTATAATATTCCTTGGGTATGGAATTTCAGTGTGGGGTTGTCTGGACTGTGACTTCCCTGTCACCGTCGGGAGTATTTATGTATATTAATCATGTATAGTATCATGTATATTATTTGTTTGTTGTTTAACGCCGCACTCAGTAATATTCCAGCTACACTCTTCAAAAAAACAAAACGCACAAGTAGTATGTAGTTCATTGAACCTGAATACACAAAAATCCGGTATATACATTGGATATATGCTATTGGAAAATGTTGGTGGCCAGATATTCGACAAACGGTGTGTCACACTTGTTATAAAATGTCATGGAAGAAAACAGTAAAGAATATGCACGTGCAAGTTATGGTATTCGTAACTCGTGGTAGTGGCTATAAAAAGGCAAGCATAAGCCAATAATGTGTCATTCAATTGTCAACATTTTTCAAGTTCGAAAATGCCGATCGGAACATCGCCATAGGACGTATCCAAAGAGGCGAATCGCATTCTTCTGTTGCACGCCACTTCAACGTCAACCACAGCACCATTTTCCGCCTTTGTGACCGATACACACAGTTCAGTTCCACTGCAGATCGTCCGAGAAACGGCCGACCAAGAGTTACCACCTCTGCACAGGATCGCTAGATTCGACTGTTCCACCTCCGTCATCGCAATGCCACAGCTACGGTTTGAGGAGGATATCGGACCAGACTGTCAGGATCCATCTTCGCGCGGCTTCAAATGGCCAACAACTCAGAGTAAATGTCATTGTTTCAATTCAATTCAAACCCTTGTTTTCTTCATGATTGACTCTGGAACGCAGTAGACGTCATTCGATACCGTTATTTCGAACGCATTTTGCAAGATGCTGCACGTAAATTGACTCATTCATTGTTACAATTTGGGCGGTACTTGGTTAATTTCCAATTTGTATATAAATGTTGTTGTTTAACGCCGCACTCAGCAATATTGGAACGGTCTGTAAATAATTGAGTCTGGACGAGACAATCCAGTGATTGACACTATGAGCATCGATCTACGCAATTGGGATACGACGTACATCAATCACGTGACCACACGATCCCGTTAGTCGCCTTTTACGGCAATCATAGGTTGCTGAAGACCTATTCTAACCCGGATCTTCACGGGTGTATATAACAGTACTTTGGCGAGTAGATTGAAAACTTTGAACAACCTCGAAAATATTTGTCCATGCTTAAATTTTGGGAACAATTCAGCGCAAATTCGACAGCTACCACGTTTCCGCAACCTAGATATTGATTTTGTAAAACATTCTGATTGGACTATCGATATATGCAATAGACCTTTCCTAAGCTCTCCTAAAAGGGCAAGGTTGAGGTGAGGTGAGGTGAGGTGAAATGGGGTTTAACGTCGCGTCCAAGATTATTGCACTTATATAGCGACGCGCATGCACGTTTATGTGTGTGTGTGTGGCTGTTTGTACTAGTCCGGACTGATTCCGATTTATAGTGCTAGCACACTGAGATACAATGCCGCAGTTTAACATGAATACCCCACTCAGACACAGTATACTGACTCCGAGCCGACCAGTCCTTCATTTAGCCCCTTAATGCCGAGCGCTAGACAGGGTAAGGCAAGGTTGAAAACTAAGCTTTGATATCGGTTAGGTGACACTTGGCTCGGGAAGATGTGGTGCAGAGACTATAAAGCAATACATGTCAGTTGGGAACTTTTCTGTTTGGACAGTCATTATACCTTATTAATGTAGCCGTTTTGATATCTTGAAATGGTCTAATGGATGCGAAACGATTTGTCAAGAAATTGGTCTAAAACAAGATTGTTCAAACCTGACAACCCCAGTAAAAACAGTCTACTTTCATAGTCCTATTCATGATGTGTGTTGCATGTGCATCAAACATGTTGTTCTCGTGTGGTTCCTATTTTGTATTGTCACGTTTGGGTTGCTGCTGCGTTTTGATGATTCCAACAATGACATTTTAATCCGCCACCAAATGTGTGCTAATGTTTTTTCTATGCGTATATCAATAAAAATTATGCACTTATTTTTAGGAAAAAATGTTGGCATGGATAAAAATGTCTGTTACACCTATGTAGGACTAAATGTGTGCAAGTGATTATTGTACGTCAAAATTGTTGGGTGTTCATCAGGCAATGGAAACTAAGGGTCTGCTTCCATTTATACATGGCGTGATTCTCATCACAACCAACTTCATGCCTGTTACCTCTAATGTCCAACATCAATTCACTTTCACCACATCCTAAAATTTATGATGCAAAAATTATTTTGTAAGGTAGCAATAATGGCATTAAGTAATCTGATCATATCTATCGTTTTGATGAGAACATTTTTCAAAGATATTGCTGGTTGACCTACAGAAAATGTGTTGAATGAATGTTGTTAGATTTGCAGGTATTAATGATGCCTGTGCATTGTGTAGAGTAGTCAACAGTCATCCTTGGACAAATTGTTTACTTTGTCGACAAAGTCATCAGCTGAGTGAGTTGGGTTTAACGTCACTTTGAACAGCATTCCAGTTATATCACAGAGTTTCAACTTATTGTGGGAGGAAAGCCCGAAGTGATGCAGGTCTCAGAAGTTACCACTTGGTGAAATCCACGAGCATGAGTATGATGCTGACAAATCGAGAAACATAATCGGGGCAAACCGGGATTCGAACCCACAATCATAGGTTTCTGGTGTGCCCGAGGGACGTAACTCTGCACTGCAAATTGTGACGCCTGAGACAACTGGGCCACCCATGCCCCCCTCTCCCGTCCTCAGCTGAAATTGTATACAAGATTCCAAAAGCCACACTGAATGTTTTACATGCCTTTATTGCACAACGACATGTACACAGTATATAACAGACAGATCTAGAGAGGTGGAAGTTGGCAGGCAGATCTCTCCTAGTAGTGGACAGTCGTACGCATGTACGTGGACTAGCATGTACTGATAACCACAACCTAGAACGTTAGTGACACTACTTAAGCAGCAGTAGTACAAAAGGATGCTTTTGCAATCACCATCGATACCTTGCATTCAACTTCCTTCATGCTTGCCTGACATAACTGGAAACAATCATCCTCCTGTTAGACAAAAAATGTTTGTATTCCATGCAGCATAATTACATGCCTCAACAGTTTCATAACTTAAAGGAGGGAGATGATATTGCCTGTAGGATTTCATACAATCAAATTTTTAACATCAAGTCAAGCGCCAAGTTAACAAGAAACATGCTCTTGCTCAATAATGCTTACAAATAACTGGCCATTGGAAAAAGAATGCCTTGCCTCCACATATTCCTTCGATTGTAACTCACCCTGCTGCAGTAACCCAAAGACAGGTCACACCCAACCCTTCCCACCTCAGCTTGTATCCCTCACCTCAATATCATTTTGATTAAATACACATAATCCTACTCTACACCTAAGCAGACCTTTTCCAAAATATTCTGAAAAGGCCATTGTGCAAGCACAAGATATTCATCTTAGAAGTGACTTAATGATGTTTACATAAGCAATGGTGTAAACTTAAAGTAGCAGTTCTCACCTACCAACCATTGAAGTCACCAAGCACTAACATGCAAGCCAGAAACATTGACAGGCCCTGATTCCCCATACCAGCCTATCCACATGTCAGATCTTAGAGAGGTGCAGGACAAGTTGGATCACTGAGAACAGACAATCCCCATACTGAAACATATTTGTGTTCTCAATAACCCTAATCAGCAGTTAGTCAGATAATGGCAATTTCCCTGGACTAATTTCTTAGAAATTAACATGATAAAATAAAGTACTGGTAGAACAAAATTACAGCTAAAGGTACAAGTCTGATGTCAACTAAGTGTTCCGTAACTTGGGAAGTTGTAAAGAGCACTAAACGCCCAGTTCAAAGGGTTACAAATGGTATAAAGCTCAGTTGTTTCCAAAGCAACTCTTTGGTTATTGAGATGAGAATACTCCTTGTAACCCCAATGTCATAAAACTAATGATAACTGAAAGAACACAAAATTTGTCATGGACACAACTGCAAAACTATGGTGTACAGATAAGGACAGGTGGTTCTGAGAGTTGCATGATCATGTGTGAAGATCTGAATATGAACATCTGGAGCACAATACTGAACACAAGACCGGATTTCCTATCACTGTTACAATGGACATTCATTTTTATCAAAGGGATGCTTGATTTTTCATCTTCTGGTCATATCAGACAAAATACTTGGGATTCTGTTTAAGTAAAGGAATATATGCGATACAGACGCAAAAATATTTTCTTTACTTCAGAAACTTGACAATAAAGCAGAGACAAATATTTTGTCAGTTTATCATTTCTGCGTAGACAAAGCATTGTATACCATGGCAAAATGACATGAAAACATAGGAGCACCAAAACAAGCTAGCCTTTGCTGTTCACAAATTACACTTAGCAGCATTATTGTACAACCTAGTCAGCACGCATGGAAACATGCTGCAAACGGCCTTTGTATCTAATGGCAACAATAAAATAATCACAACAATATTACAAAGATTGCATCTAAACAAAGCTAGTATATATGTATACAGGAGTCGTTTATAAACAATATAAATAGATGTATAATGATATTTGATCCAGTGCTATGAAAACTTTTTTTTAAAAAGAAGCAAATTTTCATTTGGACTGATGAAAGACATTATCAGCTCTTCAATGAATTGCCTCGTACTAAATATATCCTACTTTGATCATTGTTGACTATCAAAGCAGATTATCTCAGAACAGTTCCTTGTCTCTTAAAATAAAATGATTCTCCTTACTACTGAAGTCACATTTGTCATGTTTCTGGAGAGGGATGAATGTTTCCCATCATATGGCTCAAACATTCAAGTCCAATGTTCCATCGACCTTGATGAGAAAACAACAATAAGACAATTCCATTAAGACAACAGGAACAGATCAGACAGCCTCTATACTATTGTGAACAGATGACAACTCTGCAACAATACTGAGATAACACACCTTGTAGTCTTCAATCTTTCGTTAAACAACCATAAGCTTATTCCATAGGCTAAGAAATAACAGTTGCGGTTCTCAGGCAAACACCCGATTGAAAACATATGTTAGTTCTGCTTTTAAACAAAAGAAAATACAATAGTGACAGTCGGATATCAACAAGAGACATCAAAATTTCAAAAGTAATTTCCTGAGAACTGTTTCTTTTCATTTCTGCAGCTGTAGCCTGTTAGCATTTTACATAAAATATACATCAAGTGATCAACATGATCAAGACATATGCCTTTGATTAGCATTTCTTTACACAAATACAGAACAAGTACGTGTATATTTTCTATTGCCTAAAGACCTCATACCAATGGATCATTTTCATAAAATATTTTGCAACATCAAAACATTTGATTAAAATAAAACTATTCATATAGATCAAAACCATCCTATCACAAACAATTTATTGACAATTTGATTAGAACGGCACATCTTAATAACCTGTGACTAGTGTTCTGTTTTGGCAAGCAGATGAATTTACCAGAAGTCAAATGCTGCAACATGCCATCTGGGGTAGGAGTGTTCTTGTCATAAAATGCAATTTGCCTTAAAAACATTGACACTACAAAAATAAACTACATCACATTATTTTGGGGCTCAATAAATGCAACGTCCATTAAACAATAAATTGCTATGTTTGTAAGTATTTGACTTTGAAAAATAAACATTTACTGATGTACATTACAGTTTCTCTGAAATGTTACAGAAATTGTTCAAGGGGTCAAGGATTCCACACACTACCATAACAGATACAGGAATTGATCATGTCATCGGGATATATGCGAAAACAAATCCTGTCATTGTTATGTGCCTTATCATCGCATGACTGGAGTTACCTCCCTTTGACCACATACCAGCCACCACATTAAAAGTACCAGTTTTGGCTATTTTGTACTCTTATGAAGACTAAGTATTGCCATTTATAGTCACAATATTTGAACTGCATAAATTATTGACTATGTCAACATAAAAAGAGGATGATATAGTACATGTTGTAGAGTGTGGAATCACTGAGTGCCCAGAAAAGGCTTAAGTACAACATGTTGTATTTGGTCCATCTCTCTAAATGCTTTTAAATGTTCACTTGACAACAATGAATATGTACACAATGAAACAACCAAATAAACAGTTTCACACTATAACAATTGAAAAATAACATTCTGTCAGTTTAACAGAAATACAGAAACACACCCTTTGTCAACGGAAGGCTGAACTGGACAAAAAATACATGCCTAAGAGGCTCCTTGTTATGGTGACATACTTCCACAATACATACAACATCTGTACACTGACACTGCGGAACTAGAACCTGATAAAGGAAGACATTAACTTGATCATGTGGGCCTTCAGTGGTACATGTACAGGCAAATAGAAATGTATTAACAATAGATTTCAAGGTGGGATTGTAAGCATTATTGCACATACCAGTAATTCCATTTCACAGACATCAACTTGTTAAGTTTCATGGGAGAATAGTTACTAACAGTTAGCATTATTCCGACAATTGACAAAGGGCATGTTTTACTCAGGACTCAATGGACTGGCAATACAACAGGGGAAAAACATTGACAAAAATAATAATTTTCTTTCATAAATATTGAGATTCAGCCTGTCTATAGGGCAAGACTAGAACACGGACAACACAAGACACTGGTAGTCACCACAGCAATATTGGTAGTATAGTTCATTGGAAATGGCAACAAGAATTATTGCAAATGCAAATGGGAGCTAATCCAATTTGTATCTGGATATACAGGTGTGTGTGTGTGAGTGTGAGTGTGAGTGTGTGTGTGTGTGTGTGTGTGTGTGTGTGTGTGTGCGTGCGCGTGTGCGCGCGTGCGTGTGCATATATATATTAGTAAAAAAATCCCTCAGTGAGTACAGCAAATAGCAACTATCACAACGGAATTGCCCTAAAGTCATCAGATTATGACACTCATGACTTTAGAAGAAGCATGAATGAAGTTACAAAAATGTATGTTCATTAGGAACACTGCTGCCTCAACAATGACTTCTTCATTAAATTGTTTTGTGAAACTGTACAATGGTACAATTAAAGCCAAGTGTAGCCTCCTGATTGCGAACACTGCTACCTCACTATTCAGTATGTTGGGAGCTACTATTGGTCCAGCACAATGGCAAACCTACACCTGTTCCAAAAAGCCTTCTCAGAAGGTTTTATGAAAGACTCAACATAATACAAATAATTTAAATGATCAAACACTAAATCAGATATTGTCCTCCTACTTTCATCAGAAACAAATCAATACCTATCAATTCCATTATCAAAATAATTCTTTTTCCATGGTCTGCTGCCAATAACATGATCACGTATCAGTGGAGGATTTGATGAAAAACATGACAGTGGCAATGAACAGAGAACAAACATACAACACTGGAGAATACCCTGTATATATCTACTAATGATAAAGTCATGAGTGCCTTGGACAACCACTTAGGCAGAAACAGTTTCCACAATGGATTCCTTGATGATTTCACCAAAGTTGTCGCTGCCCTTTTTGTCATGGTTCTGAGACAAAGTGTGGTTTTCTTGGATATCTTTCTCACTTGCTGCTGGTGTGCTGCTGACTTTCTCTGCAGATAAGGACAAAGATGTGTTGCTTCCACTGCCTGCCATACAGATGTCAGGACCTGACCCTACAGAAGAATTGTCATCCCCAGAGGAGGAACCAAGAGCACTGTCATATGCAAGATTTGAGTCCAGGGTTGATCGTTGATCAACAAAATCTGGGTATGATGGTTCTGAGAGGTTAGGCGACTGGCCAAGGACTGCAGACTGAGAACTGTCTGAATCCAAACCGAAGTCAGTATAGATATGGGCTGCTGCTCGACTGGCAGTAGTGACATTGCTTACATACCCTGCATCATGCCGAGCCATGTGTGACGAGATCAGGGGGCATTTTTGTGCCAACTGGTCTCTGGTAGTGGTTGTCATGGTTGCGTATGTGGACACATCTACTTCTTTAGATATTGGTGGCACAGAGTCTAGACGTTTTTCAGCAGTGTCACTATGGTTTTGAGGCTGTCTATGCCAATTACCTTTGGTTTCTAAGTTGGGGGTTGAAGAAGCATTGAGGGGATTCAACATACCGGATATTGGCTGCAGCTTGTACATGTGGTTTGAGGAATTGTTCAGATCCATGTATTTCTCCTGGGTTTGATTTTTGGGAACAAACGTCCTTGCTTTTGACACTGAGCAGAATTCCTGATTGGTTTCTTCATCCACTGTGCCAATGGCAGTGAGGTTTTGATACGACTTTGGATAATCTGTTCCCTCAACAGAATTGTCACTGGAGCACTCACTGGCCTCAGAATAGCTCTCTTCTTGCTTACTAAAGTGAAAGAAGTTTGTTGTGTTTTCTGCATGATATACTTCTTCATCACTGTCATTGAACAACATAACACGAGGCAGTGGACTCCCATTGGTTTCTGTGTGTTGCTGTGGCTGCGGCTGTTGAACATGATTGGAGGAAGTAAATGTCTGCTGTGGCAGGAGTGACCTCTGCTGAGCATACCTTACCTCTTGCATCATAGCATTACACATCTCACTATTCTGGCAGTCCCGACAACTGCCTTTCTCGTTGCTGTTGAACTGAGTCCAGTCAATACTATCATTAGACGATGACATTCCATTCATACTATTTGACCCATCTCGAGAGCAGTGAGCTTTAACACTAGATTCACATTCCTTTTTTTCCAACTCCAGACGCATGAGTGTGTGGATGAAGTGAGTTCTTACACGGATTGGATTAAATTCAATTCTCCCTGCGATGTTCCCACAGCCATCTTTGCTGCATCCACATGGAAAGGACAACCTATCAACCTGGCACTGAATCCCAGCCAGACTACAAGCACATTTCTCAGGATCGCAGAACACTTTACAATCACATCCACAAACTTCCCTTGATACTCGGATCTCCCGACACTCATCCTTCTCCAGATTTTCAATCTTTTTCACCCCTGATGTGCGAAGCATATTCCTTCGCTGTCGAATGGGCACAGGCTGCAGAAAATAGTAGTCATCGAACTCACTGTCTGATTCACTACCTGATGACACTTCACCCTCTTCCAACATAACTGTACTCAACAGCGGGCTAGGAAACAACTTTCCCTGGCGCCGCTGTTCCGCAATAATCACCCGATGGATTCGCTTTTGTTCTTTGGCATAATCTCTCAAGCTGAACTTCTCAACAAAATTGTGTTTGTTGGCCATGCCTGACAACAAAAAAATCTTTGTCTAAATATGATTATATTTCATACCAAATGGCAATACATGACTTTATGTCTGGCAGACCTCAATAAGAGCTAACAAGATGGGTTACTTTCAAATTCTACAAAGAATGTTTTGTATCAAAGTGTCACTAAACAGTCAAAACTAGAGTATTTTAACACAAGCTCCTAAATGATAACAGTACTGCTCACTCACCTAAAGTAGATCCCCCTTCACTGGGAACACATGTGAAACCTTGCATTCTGGGGAAGTAGAACACTGTCACCCCTTGGAAGGCCACCGCCTTCTTCGCCCGCTTCGTGGATTCTAAACAAATTTATACATTTGAAAGAACAAGCACAATAAATCACATAAAACATTGGTTAAATTGCAGCTAGTATTGACAATAATGCTTTTATTTCATCCTGCTTTGAATCCACTGCCACATCAGGCAGTCAACCAGTCAGCACAGTAATCGACTGCCTTTGGAATTATGTCATAAAAATTGTTGAAACACTTTGAAACCATTGAGTAATCTTTTCATGATATAGAGTATCTAAAATAACAAAGCTGTGTTGTCATAGATTGTTTTCATCAGCCATAGTCACACGCAAGTAAATATTTTCAACCTTCCGAGTGCAAATTCACAATGAAATCTAAGTTTAGAAGTATGAAGACAACCTTGCTTTTTCACATGTATAGCACTACCACCAAGTTATCAAAAGATATGTATATTATTATTTAGTCCTTTGAAAAAACAAGCTGCAAATACGTAAACATGGCAAAAGCCTTCATATATGAGGTGCAATGGGAAGCAGAAGTAGGCCGTCAGTATCACACACAAAGTGACTTCATAGTTTACCGGAAACTAGAAATATATCACAAAATAAACTTTAATCCATGTTTGATAACCTCATTGATAACCCTGTGACACTACGACCGCATGTTTTGCATTGAGGTTTATTGAACATGCGCGAACAAGCAAAGTTGTAAACATCTGTGCATGTTTTCTGCAAAGTTTAACGATTTAACTCATGGAATTACAAGGATATACAGTCATGACAACACCTACCAACATAGTTTTAATCAAATAACATGCAAAACCATAAAATAATGTCAACAAGAGTTTGCCACTATCGTGGCTATATATATAATCTAAACAAACCCTAACCTTTTTTAACCGAGTTCGAACTTGTCATGGAAATTGTATAAAAAAAATAGAGTTTGGAACCTAAGTCCATCTTGTTGCCATGGAAACGTAAAAAATAAAAATTTCTAGAATTTCTAAATAGCAAAAGGCACCAGTTCAGCATGTACCTGACAGACCTGTAAAGTTTGATGAAAACATATTGAACGGTTTATGAGTTATGCTCCAGAAACGAACCCTACCCTCGCAGAACCTAAGTCCTTCTTGTTGCCATGAAAACGTAAAAAATAAAAATAATAAAAATTTCTAAATAGCAAAAGGCACCAGTTCAGCATGTACCTGACAGACCTGCAAGGTTTGATGAAAAAATATTGAACGGTTTATAAGTTATGCTTTGGAAACGAACCCTACCCTCACAGAACCTAAGTCCATCTTGTTGCCATGGAAACGTAGAAATAAAAATTACTTAAATTTCTAAATAGCAAAAGGCACCAGTTCAGCATGTACCTGACAGACCTGCAAAGTTTGATGAAAACATATTGAACGGTGTATGAGTTATGCTACGGAAATGAAACGTGACGGACAGAGCCCGTTTCTATATCCCCGGCCAAATTTGTTGGGCGGGGGATAACAAGTCAACCATACATTTTTACAGTTGCCAGTTTGGAAATCAGTCGAAGGCATCATTCAGACTACAAAAGTTCAAACTTTTCCCGTATCTATACACTAGTGAAGCATTCTGCATGCTATATTTTTTCTTTCGTCCGGAGTGTATTGACCTGATAACTGAAGGAATGAAGCTGCTTATTATGGAAACAATCTGGGATCTTTTGCAAATCACGATAAGCAAACCAAGTGCGATTAATTTAGTTTGAATTCCAGGGTTTTCACATTCATTGCACCATCTGCAATTCTGGAGTTGGCCTGTATAGTTAATCTGAATGACCATATCCTAGAGTAGGTACATATACCAATCCTTATGACAAATGCATTAATTCCTTTAGTAAAACAGTAACCACAAACTGCTGAGTTTGACATGATGTGTCAAGAGAATGCCCTAGGGACATTTGGAAGGATTCCATGGAAGGAGAATATCAAAGGCCAATAAATCATTGTGTTGTAGGCCTTTGAGAAATCACTGGTGCCAGTCATATTCCAACAAAACCATATAATATTTTTAGCAGTCCATTTCAAGACATCAAAAATTAAGAGTAAAGATTTCATGTTATTTTCAAAAAGTTGATTTTTATGGTGATAGGACATCTTATGACGCCAAATAACTACAAGTTATGCTGCTCTTAGAATGAGAGATCTATTCTGAAATTCACCTGATCACTGCATGTATATATCATGTACATCATGAAAAATTTGTTGTTGCTAAACAAAAAGTAGTAGACAGAAGTCCTGACATGACCTATAAGGTAAACTAGCCATTATCAGTTTTTCAAGTTAGTGTTAATGTATCAAATACTGCTCTTAATTGAAACATTGTTTTCAATAGATATTATTGTTGTGGATGCCATGAGTGTATGCTGACCCAGTAAACAGTTTATTTTCTTCATCAAGGGTTCATAAATTAGAAGATAAACTTGAGTGGCTCAAAGATATATAACTGCATAATTTAAAATGTTTTGAAAATATGCATAAGATCTATCTCAACTGAAAGTTACATGAAGTTTTTTTAGAAAACAAAAGAATAAATAAAATAATTTGAAATTAAAATGATCAGCATGGTTTGATTTTTAAAACAATAAATACTGGCAAATCTGCTATTGATAAGCTTTCAAATAAAACATACCCATGATACAACAGAGAAAAGAATTAAATAAGTTGTAATGACATTAGAAGACTGGCAGCATTAAGTTCTCCCCACATAATTGGATGTACCTTTCTTGGTGGTGACATCTGTGCTGCCGTCAGTGCCCACGCTGCAGCTACTGTTGCTGTCATCTGACTCGGGTGTACGAGGCGAGGACGACGTGCACCCCACTGCCGACGTCTCCAGTTCCTCTAGCTTCCTCTTGGGCATGGTGGAACAGGTCTTAGCCCTGATGGTGCTGGCTGTTTGAGTCTCTCTGGGGCATGGTCTGAAGAAACAAGCTACTGTCAGAGACAAAATACTCATGGCTGGTATTGACATCACAGTGTCAACTTAGTAAACTTCTGACCACTAGAACAAATGTGTATCAATAGTTATTGGTTAACTCTAACATAAAAACAATTCTGAGAGAGTATGGTTCTACGCCGCTTTTAGCAATATTCCAGCAACAACATGGCCGGGGACACCAGAAATGGGCTTCACACATTGTAACCATGTGGGGAATCGAACCCGGGTCTTCGCCATGACAAGCGAATGCTTTAACCACAAGGCTACCCCACTGCCCCTGTTCAGTGTTAGGCAGACAGAAGATTCTATTGCAGCACTATTATCTAAATTATTAGTACACAAATTCGTTGCACAAAATAACCACTGGTCTGATTTTGAACAATTTGTTATCAACAATCAAATAATTATGCATTAGTTCACAAATGCATCTTCAGAGAAACTTCAACAAAATATTGTCATTGGCCCCCTGATGTATTTTATCATCATGTCACATAGGTTTGTGAGCAATTCTTTCTGAAACATTTCTCGCGAACAAATATCCCATATAATGACAACCAAAATATAGAAACATTGTTTGGAAACACTTTTCATATTTTTCAAGTTCAGTACAAAAGAATGTCCAAACAGGAAAATACATATTCATCAACAGCAGTTCCAACATTTGACACATGATTCAAACAAAATGTAACGAATTCACAGAAAAAGAGAACAAATAATAAACATTATGCAGTATTAGTATGTGATAAATAGACACATCTGTGTGTAAAGTTAAGCAGGTGTCATGTGTAATGAACACTTTTACTTGATCACTTTCCAATCCCTATTCTCAGCGTGTCAAGAAGATCATTTAACTTGTCTCAAGTTCACCTCAAGCAATCATTCAAAATTAGGGAAAGCAATTACCCACTTAGCAGACCAGAAAAAGCCTGCCTCTCCCGCCTGGAGAAATAGCACGTAACATGCAATCACAGACTCAGTCCCCAGCTTCTTCATAAGTCGATTAAATTACGACAAATATTGATAAGTGTTTCAGCACCCTTCAGCTGTTTTGCAAGCCCCTAACGTGACAAAAGCTTTGTCGGCTGATCATGCTAATTGACTCTGCCAAGAAGCGGAGATTAGATCAACCTACAACCTGCTTGTAATATTTAAACCAATGAGAATTAATTAACGGCAAAACACAGCAGCGGCAATGAACTTACCCACGTCGGGATTCTTGTATTAAACAAAATCAACACCGAAGTGCCTGAAATCGCAGCTTACTACACAAGTCTCTTAATCACACTGCTGTCTTTTTTCCTAGCGGCTTTCTACAGAGCAAGTCCATCTGCCCGTAGTCTTAAACTCCAGTATTTACAGGCAGTCTTGCTGGTTTCCATGGCAACGCATCCCATTCCACTATAATTTGACAGACTCGACTAGCTAGCCTCATTCAGCAGAGTCAGAAAATCAATACTGGCTCCCTGTCAGGGACTTTGTAGGGAGGAATGATCAATATTTATAGCCTGTTTCTACTTCTTCAATTAACTGGGGACCACCAATTTTCACAATGGACAAAAATTAATATAATGACTTTGATAGCAGAAATATGTTGGCTCCCTGTTTCAGCAACCGAGTACTGATTTGAAAGTACGACCATCATGAATTTGAAATAAATATTTTAAGATCCCACTTTCTCCTTAGGGAAATCTGATTAAGTTCAAGGAACTTTTGAAAAGCTTGACATAAGTAACATCCTTTCATACTTGATTTCATAAATTGCATTTTAATGTATTCTGACAGCTTAGAATAATTACAAAAATCCATTTAGAGGGTAGACATCACTGCAGGCATGTAGTTGTTGGCTGGGTAATCAGAAGGATAAAGTCTGTTTCTATCAGTAGGAGCATAAATCGTGTCATCCAGAACAGTGGGCAGCACTTCCCAATCCAATTACACCAACCAGGTCTGCCCTGACCAAACCTCGCACTCAACCCATTGTCATACCAACACAATATTCACTGGGACATCTGATGGGGGTTTTCTCAACTTCATTTTAAGCCTGGCAGCGTCAACCAAGCCATAGTTTAATCACACATTCATCACAATCAACACACAGAGCGATTAAGTCTTAACTGCCAATACAATGGACAGGGCAACAAGAGATGACTGGTTTAGAGTTAACATTTTAAAAATTAAGCAGTAACACACTACTAACAGTACCTTTTAGCATGTTTAGCAATGACATTTTTAATTTTGACCATCTAATGGTTTGAAAGTAGTCATGTCATTTGATATTGCCAAAATAAAATATACCAGGAATACCTTTAAGACTTAATCATGCTACCATCTAATTATTTAATTTCCTTATGGGCTCAGTACCATAATGGTCATAATAATCACCCTGGCGGCTTAGAAAATTGACAAAGGGGGGCGCTTACTAAAACCATACAAAACTTAAACTTTGTTTCAGTGATCAAACACTGGTGAACAAACTTTGTTCAAATAGTGATGAAACAATTGTTTTTGTTAATATAATAAGAGTTCCAGGGCAATCAAAAAGCCCTTTTACACTGCTGTTTTCTGTACAAAATCTGTAATACATGTATGCACATGAAAATACCGACTGTCGTGTACATTTAAAGTCTTAGAGGGGTACTTATAAAGTTTACTTTCAGATTGATCTAGAGGTAGCCTCCCAAAACCCCTACATCCCATTTCCCCTACAGCTTAAGACAACAAAGTTCACGGTCCATGGCACTGCTAATCCCTAGTCTGTTACCTATTTCATACAATGGAACAACCCAAGAAACTCGAATAGATTGAGATAAATATTTAATTACGATTACGATATTATTCAAAATTCATAATACATTATAATAAAATGTTCATTTTTCAAAATTCATAATACATTATAATAAAATGTTCATTTTTCAAAATTCATAATACATTACAACAAAATGTTCATTTTTCATCTCAACTGTAAATCGTCTCATCTCAGTTTCTCAGTGTAATAATTGTGTCTTCCTATTGTTATTTTTGTAATTTCTAAAAATTGTCTTCTCATCATACAGGCATCTTTCATCACACTTACATTAATTCTTTTTTTTTTAAAACTTTCCTTTAAGTCCCCTAATCCCCTAAAGCTCAACCCCTTTCATTTCTACTACCTCTACTCCAGACCTTAATCTCTCCTTTAGGTGAGTTCATAATGCCAGACAGGTAAATGTCGCGTGTTGTTTTAACTAATTGTAGGGGAACTGGGTTGTAGGGGAAATGGGATGTAGGGGTTTTGGGAGATAACCGATCTAGAAGATGGACGGGAGGTTATTGGAGCAACATGTACAGTTATAAAAATCATTGACAGTGCCTCAACATGTCACAGACAATAGGAACTACTTCTGAGCATTGTTATTGACATATACACGTCACCGACCAGTTAACACAATGTTTTAAATATTCCATATACAAAACTGACTGTGCCAATAACTTTGATTTTTTGTGAAACTATGAGCAAATGTGCATATTTCTGTCCATGGAAACAATTTCAGTAGATTTCTATGTTAATATGACAATACGGAATCAAAACGGTGAAAAATAGAAGTTTCCCGTCAAACAACTGTACCAGTTATTGCCATGGTCTAAACAACACATGCAACTTGATCACTCGCACTGCTTCAGTTATACAAATTACTCTTGGTACCACGCTCAGTTTTCATATTAATTAAAACTAATCAGAAGTTTCTTTATCCATTTGTCGTCTGCATACTGATGTGAACCAATATTCCCCAAATTCCATTTACACATGCTTATCCTTAACACTATGTTCTATGGATTTCACGATATATACAGGCTATGCGTTTTCTGAAAAAGAGCTCAATTAAACTTCAGAATTGCATTTTTGGGAAGAAACGATAAACAGATAGTAAGCAATGACAAAACTGAATTTTTATAGTGTTGTTCGATTTTAGTTTACGCGTGAACTATTCATGTTGCACCACCTGCTTGTCTTTTCTAAAGTTTTATTTGAGCAAGGTGATTATATGGTGTTTTGAAATATTTCCCCACAAGAGTCAGTTTTGTTCATCATTTTTGAATAAATATTTCTCTCTTTTAATGAAAACGAGCAAAAGAAAAACGAGATGTGATCATGTATGTGCTATAAGTATAACTGGGAGTTGGCAAGTAGCTTCTTTTCTGTGGCTTCTGATAAGATGACTATAAAACACTAAATATTTTAATACATATATTTGTTTCAAAACACAACCACTATATCTTCATGCAAGATTTTATATTTGAAAATGTAATTTTTCTACAATGAACAATTAAGGGTCCTGTTATCACAAATTCAAGGGCCACTTAGTTTTGAATCTTAAATACATCCCTGATGTTACTATCTCACTGAAGTTGGCCACGTTCTTACTGTTTTCTAAGAATTGTCTTTGCGCTTATCTAGCATGATGTAGCCAGCCAAGTACTTGGGCCAGTGGTTAACATGATCTTCTCACTACAACGCAGTGGTAACTTCGCATCACACCATTGCCACAGGCTAATTTGCATATCACGTGACCTGACTTTTCTCTTGTTTGTTAATAAACACGCTTTTTCAGAAATCAAAATAGAACGGACTAATGCAAGTATTATTTCTATGACAGCACGTGGAGCTGTACAACCAATGTAAACATAGGATAACTACGCAAACAGAAATAGTTTTTCACGATTTAGGATATTTGCTCAATGAAAGTTAACCATTCCATGACATATTTATTTAGATGTGTAGACTTGTCAAAAATGAAACAGATGAAAAACATATGCAATATCTTGAATGGACTGTTTAAGATGTGATGAATCGTCACATGGTGCTGGCCTGTGGCAGAGGTACTATGCTGGTCGCATGGAACTCCGGGTAGGAGAGTGCATGATTTTGTGACATGGTGTCTATCCTTGAACTTCTGACAAGAAGACAAACAAGATGAACATTCAATAAAATTCTTCGCACGG